TCTCACAGGCTACGTGTAGACTACATCCCTCTGTCGACAGAAGGATGTAAATGACGCACTTCGAAAGTGCAAATAAAGCGGGGATTTAAATATCCTGTGCTTCATCTATGTAATTGCGTCATGGCGCTCTTTCGAACAAGTGCCATTTTGAAAGTAAAACCGTGATCTAGACGCAGTTCTTTCGAAAATGGCAGGCTTTTTTGAAAGATCCTGTACTCCTCAAAAATTGAGGTTTACAGGATCTTTTGAAAAAGCCTTCCATTTTCAAAAGAACCATGTCTAGACTATGGTTTTACTTTCGAAATGCTTGTTTGAAAGAGCGCCATGATGCAATTATGCAGATGAAGCACAGGATATTTAAATCCCCGCTTTATTTGCACTCTCGAAGTGCATCATTTACATCCTTCTGTCAACAGAAGGATGTAGTTTAGAAGTAGCCACACTGTCTACATACTCCCTCTTACTCTGTTGCAACAGTGGCTAATTTGCAAACAGCAGTGGGATATGCTACAACACTCTTGCTTTGTACCATGTCCACCTGACCTAACTTAATTTAACTTTTGAGCAAATAAAGCTTACTTAAGAAACTCTTTAAAAGATCATAGTCAACTTTCTTTGCCTGTGTAAATATCAAGAAACCCATACTTCAGCAGCTACTACTTAAATATTAAATTATCAAATTTTTTTTATTCTCCTCTTCCCATTCTCATGCACATTTTAAAAATAACCCTGACAGAACTAAGATGCTCTAAATCACCTTAAAGGTTATAGTTGGTTTGTACTCTTGGAAGATGACTGATAAATATGAAAAGGCTGTCTCATTCATTGTGTGGCCTATTTGTAATAAATTCACTTCATGAGGCAAAGATCCTGATGATCCATCTCATTCACTGTGTATTCTTCAAATACCTGCAGTACATGAGGTAGTACTCCAGTGAACCCACATGAATTACATCAAACAACCCTGCAGAAAGCTACATATGACATATAATTACTATATCATATTAATACAGATAAGATATTGTGAAAACTTAAAAAACAATGAATAGTCTAGCAGCACCTTAAAGACTAGCAAAAAATGTAGATGAAGATACGAGCTTTTGTTGGCACAACTGACGACTTCAAATGAATGGAGTTAATAAATGTCCAGGTCCAAAATAAATAGGGGATGGGGGAAGAAGGAAAAAAGGGGAAAGAAATAGTCAATTAGAGTGTTCATGCCACTGATAGAGAAGGTGTAAATTGTTCTTATGCTACACCAAACAATGGGAACTTAAGTAGAGTAAGGGTGCTAGAGGCCAAGAGTTGAGGAAACATTGTTCAAGGTCAGCCATGAAGATGTTAGCATATTGAGGGGCCATGTGGCTGCTGCATGCCTCAGAATCTCTCATTCATGGTACTTTCAACTGACCTAGCAACATTGTCATCCTATCCAGCTACACTCTTAGCCTGGCAGAGGAATCTGTCCTATCATGAGGACTCTCCTTCTGCCCCACCACTTGCACTAATATGATTTAGTTCTGTGGAGATCTGGAAGTCTATTTTCACCACCTCCACCTCAAGGAATATTTCTAGCACACCGATATACAACACACTGACCTTGCAGCTTCCCCCGCCAGTCCCTCAAGAGGAAGGCCCCGTACTGACGGTTGTAATGAGAGTCTTGACTTCTACATTGATTGCTTCTGCAAATGTGCACAGGCTGACATTGTCATCAAATAACAACACATAACCTTAGCCATGCAGAACGCAATGCTATACACAGCCTCAAAAACAATTTTAACATAATAATTAAAGAATATGACAAAGGGGGTGCTGTAGTCATCATGAACAGAACAGATTATGAACAGGAGGTGACCAGACAACTCACCAACACCAGATTCTACAGGCTTCTCTCCTCTGATCCCACTAAAGAATACCAAAAAACCCGAAAACAACTGCTCATGAAGCTCCCTGATACTGCTTAGGACCAAATTTACACAAACACCCCACAGTTCCTGACCAGGATTTTTCTATCTGCTATCCAAGATACACAGACCTGGAATTCCCGGATGATCCATCACCTCAAGCATCGGCACACTTACTTCAGGATTAGTATTTTTCAGCTCACCTAATACAAATAGAATAATAGAACACTAGAACTGGAAGGGACCTTGAGAGGTCATTGAGTCCAGTCCCCTGACCTTATGGCAGGACCAAGCACTGTCTAGATCATCCTGACAGATGTTTGTCTAACCTTCACTTAAATATCCCCATGATGGAGATTCCACAATCTCCCTAGGCAGTTTATTCTAATGCTTTACCATCCTGACTGTTAGGAAGTTTTTCCTAATGTCCAATATAAACCTCTCTTGCCCTCTAATGCTTCTTGTCCTATCATCAGAAATTAAGGAGAATAATTTTCCTCTCTCCTCCTTGTAACATCCTTTTAGGTACTTGAAAGCTGTTTTCATGTCCCCTCTCCATTTCTTTTTTCCAAACTAAACAAGCCCAATTTTTTCAGTCTTCCCCCATTGCGCATATTTTTTAGACCTTTAATAATTTTTGTTGCTCTTCTGTGGACCTTCTCCAATTTCTCCACATCTTTCTCGAAATGTGGTGCTCATAATACTCCAGTTGAGGCATAATCAGTGCAGAGTAGAGTGGAAGACTTACTTCTTGTGTCTTGGTTACTTCTGTTAATGCACCCCAGAATGATGTTTGCTTTTTTTGCAACAGTGTCACACTGTTGATTGATATTTAGTTTGTGGTCCGCTACAACCCCTATATCCCTTTCTACAGTACTCCTTCCTGGATAGTCACTTCCCATTTTATATTTTGTAAAAATGATTGTTCCTTTCTAAGTAGAGTACTTTGCATTTGCCCTTATTAAACTTCATCCTATTTACCTCAGACCATTTCTCCAGTTTATCAAGATAATTTTGAATTATGACCCTGTCCTCCAAAGCACTTGCAGCCCCTCCCAGCTTGGTATCCTCCACAAAATTTATAAATGCACTTTCTGTGCTATTATCTAAATTGTTGATGAAGATACTAAACAGAATTGGTCCCAAAACTGAACCATGCAGAACCCCTTATTTGTGCCTCCTTATTTGTACACCTTTGAATACCAAATGAAAGGAGACAAAACTTCAAAGGAGCCTTTCCTCTATTTATATGCTTAATTATTTATTATAGACCATATTTCACAAGTCCTGTATATAAAGAAAAATGTATGCAATTTCAGTTTATGTAGGCAAATGCAATGGAATCCTAAGATGGATGGCCCAAGAAGAATATTCTTTGGCTATGTCTACACTAGGGGCTTCTGCTGATATAGCTGTGTCTATCAGGGTTGGAAGAGCTGTGATCCCTGACTGACAGAATGGTCCAGAAAGAGCTCTCAGTGTAGCTGCAATTATACCAGCAGAGCTATACTTTTGCTGGTGTAACCTGTTCCCCATTCAGGGGAGGATTACTAGCTCTCTGCATTCATAATAGGAATGCTTTGCCACCCAGAAACTCTTTGTTTTTGGTTTTTACCTTTTTTTTTAAAAACTGAAATTACTGTGTTTTACAAAAGCTTATTTGGTTTATCCTGATTTTTCACCAGAGTTTTGGAATGCTCAGGTACAGGAAAATAATGAATGTTAAATCCAGTACTTTACAGTACATGGCTGTGTTTTATGTTGATAATAAGTACTCTTATGTGGAATGCTAGATAAATATGATGTTACTCCTTTTTTTTGGTTTTGCCTTTAATTTCGATTATCATTTAAAAGATGAAGTTTGAGTTTTCATGTTTATCATGACTACATTGGCATGTATTCTGACCTCTGCATATTCCTTTTAGAACTCTGAGTAAAATCAATTCAAATCAGTG